CAGCCAGCGTGGGTGTTACAACTAAGCTTTCAGCTGTCACAGACACCACCTTTGTGTTCCTGGTCATTGTGAACGGCACCACTGAAGATATTAAGGTAACCCCAAGGCATTTGAGACTGGTCTCTAAGTTAGAGGAGATGCCCCTTACATCGGTATGCACCGTTAAGTCAAGCATAAGGGCCTCTTTCTGCTGTTTACTGCGCCTCCCATTACTCGCAATGGACATTGTGCAGATTGTTATTCACCCTGTGAATCCACTCCAGAGTTTGTACCAGTCCAAGAATCTACTCCAGTGCCTACTCCTGCCAATGCTTTTGCTCTGGAGTCTGCTTCGGCCCTTGAGTTCACTCCAGAGTCAAGTCCAGGTCAAGAGTCCACTCCAGAATCCGCACCAGTCCAGGAGCCCTCAGAGTCTGCTCAAGAGCCCGCTCCAATCCAGGAATCCTCAGAGTCCACTCCAGAGACCGCTCCAGTCCAGGAACCCTCAGAGTTCACTTAAATGTCCACTTCAGTCCAGGAGCCCTCAGAGTTCAATGATGAACATGCTCCAGTTCATGAGTCTGCTCCAGAGCTCGCCCCAGTCCATGAGTCTGATCCAGAGCGTGCTCCAGTCTTTAAGTTCACTCCAGAACCCACTCAAGTCTACGAGTTCATTCCAGAGTTTACTCCCATCTATGAATCTGCTCCAGAGCCCACTCAATTCTATGAGTTCATTCCAGAGCTCACTCAGTCAATAAGGCCACTCCAGAGTAAGTTCTGGTCTATGAGTTTGCTCCTGAATCCGCTCCAGTCCAGGAATCCACTCAAGTTTTTAAATTCACTTTCAAGCTCATTCCTGTCCAGGAGTCTGCTCCTAAGGCAACTCCAATTCCTCTTGAGATGGCGGCTTCTGCTGCAGAACCTCCCGAAGTGGCGGCAGTGGCCGCTTCAGCTCCTCTCTGGGCGATGGCGCCCACTCCTGAAATATCAGTCTCCCCCAACACGATCAGAGAGGTCGTACCAGCACTTCCTGTTTGCTTCGTGACCACAGAGGTCATGCATGAACTGTCTGTCTGCTCCAACATGACTAGAGAGCTTATAAATGAACTTTATGGGAAGACCATAGTGGCCAACCTGGGAAGCCCTATGGAGGGTGCCTCTGAACACCTTACCTGTTCTGTTACGGCCCCTGTGGCCAATACTAACCTCTCTGTGCCTTGTGTTACAGGCTTGCCTGGTCTAGCCATGCCTGTTTGACAGATCTGCCCTGGGGTCTTTGATTCCATCATGGTTATTTTCAGCCCTGCCTGCTCTGCCATGGGGATCTACAGGCCCATTTGCGCTGCTGTGGTGGTCTTCTGCTCTGCTGTGGGGACCTTCGAGGCCGTCTGCGTGACTGTGGTGGTCATCTGGTCCGCTGTGGGGATCTTCAAGCCCATCTGCATGGCTGTGGTGGTCATCTGCTCTGCTGTGGGGACCTTCGAGGCTGTCTGCATGGCTGTGGTGGTCATCTGCTCCGACGTGGGGATCTACAAGCCCGTATTTGCTGCTGTGTTGGTCGTTTGTTCCGCCATGGGGGTCTACAGCCCCGTCTGCGCTGCTGTGGTGGTCTTTTGCTCCGCCATGGGGGTCTTCAAGCCTGTCGGTGCTGCTAGGGTGGCTTTCTGCTGGACCCTGGACATTTGCTACTTGTATTACCCAGTTAGCCCTGCCCTGGATTCCTGCTCGGCCATCGTCGGCCATTTCCCAGACTACATTGCTCTGTCTCATGTGAGATGATTGTTTGCACCTGCTTCCATTTGAATCATTAGGGTCCTGCCTATATAAGCTGTATTTGTCTCTACCATTGTCAATGAGGTTTTACATTGTTACACTGCCTTCTGAGTTCTTTCGGTCATGTTTATGTTTCATGGTTTTTGAATCTCTTGGCTGTTTTGTGGATTATCCTTTTGCCTTGCCCTCGGGAATTGTTTCTTTTGGATTTACTGGTTTCGACCTTCTGCCTGTTCTTGGACCGTGTACTTGGATTTTGTCCTGTTTTCAATAAACGTTGCACTTGGATCTGCAACTTATAAATCTCGGAGCAGTTCATGTGACAATACTAAAATGAGAAATACATGAGAATCACAACTAAGTCTCCTGAGCTTAGAAGGAGCAACCACTGAGCAATAAAATATTCCTATAATGGAGTCTTGATAGAGATTTCAGCAAGCCAATAAAGACATACTACCTGTTTCTTCCACCACATTCTCAGTTTTGACTCTTTTGACAAAAATGTGACCTTATTTTGAGTGTGAAAAATCTGTCAAAAGAAGGAGATGTGACAAAAATCTTCCACAGCTGTAGTGCCCCACTCCCCGTCTGATTTTGGCATGAAAGGATGGGAGTTGTCAGGTGACAGCATCAGTTTATACACTTCAGTCAGTCAGACAAAAGAACAGAAATGCTGATCAGCCAGCAAATAATAGCGCCCACTCCTGAAATATCAGTCTCCCCCAACACGATCAGAGAGGTCGTACCAGCACTTCCTGTTTGCTTCGTGACCACAGAGGTCATGCATGAACTGTCTGTCTGCTCCAACATGACTAGAGAGCTTATAAATGAACTTTATGGGAAGACCATAGTGGCCAACCTGGGAAGCCCTATGGAGGGTGCCTCTGAACACCTTACCTGTTCTGTTACGGCCCCTGTGGCCAATACTAACCTCTCTGTGCCTTGTGTTACAGGCTTGCCTGGTCTAGCCATGCCTGTTTGACAGATCTGCCCTGGGGTCTTTGATTCCATCATGGTTATTTTCAGCCCTGCCTGCTCTGCCATGGGGATCTACAGGCCCATTTGCGCTGCTGTGGTGGTCTTCTGCTCTGCTGTGGGGACCTTCGAGGCCGTCTGCGTGACTGTGGTGGTCATCTGGTCCGCTGTTGGGATCTACAAGCCCGTATGTGCTGCTGTGTTGGTCGTTTGTTCCGCCATGGGGGTCTACAGCCACGTCTGCGCTGCTGTGGTGGTCTTTTGCTCCGCCGTGGGGGTCTTCAAGCCTGTCGGTGCTGCTAGGGTGGCTTTCTGCTGGACCCTGGACATTTGCTGCATGTATTACCCAGTTAGCCCTGCCCTGGATTCCTGCTCGGCCATCGTCGGCCATTTCCCAGACTACATTGCTCTGTCTCATGTGAGATGATTGTTTGCACCTGCTTCCATTTGAATCATTAGGGTCCTGCCTATATAAGCTGTATTTGTCTCTACCATTGTCAATGAGGTTTTACATTGTTACACTGCCTTCTGAGTTCTTTCGGTCATGTTTATGTTTCATGGTTTTTGAATCTCTTGGCTGTTTTGTGGATTATCCTTTTGCCTTGCCCTCGGGAATTGTTTCTTTTGGATTTACTGGTTTCGACCTTCTGCCTGTTCTTGGACCGTGTACTTGGATTTTGTCCTGTTTTCAATAAACGTTGCACTTGGATCTGCAACTTATAAATCTCGGAGCAGTTCATGTGACAATACTAAAATGAGAAATACATGAGAATCACAACTAAGTCTCCTGAGCTTAGAAGGAGCAACCACTGAGCAATAAAATATTCCTATAATGGAGTCTTGATAGAGATTTCAGCAAGCCAATAAAGACATACTACCTGTTTCTTCCACCACATTCTCAGTTTTGACTCTTTTGACAAAAATGTGACCTTATTTTGAGTGTGAAAAATCTGTCAAAAGAAGGAGATGTGACAAAAATCTTCCACAGCTGTAGTGCCCCACTCCCCGTCTGATTTTGGCATGAAAGGATGGGAGTTGTCAGGTGACAGCATCAGTTTATACACTTCAGTCAGTCAGACAAAAGAACAGAAATGCTGATCAGCCAGCAAATAATAGCGTCAAACAAGAAATCAGTTAAATAGAGAATTAAATCATAATGTTGTATTTAGTAGGGTAGAGTCTAAACAACAGAAATATGGCATAATATAAGAGAAATACAGAAAAATAGTCAGATGGAAGCACAGACTGAAGTGTGACAATAAGGGCATCTGAGAGTGCAGGATGTTCATGAGGATATTTGATTTTTTCCTCAAACAGACATGCTCAAAACATTAATGGGATTTAAAATATAATTTCATAAATGTTACTCACACATGCATTCATGCAGTATATTAATTTTCTTATTGTCGTGGAAAGGAACTGATTGGGTAATGAAAAGTAGGTGTTATATATCAGAATGGTGCCAGTCTCCATTTCTAAATATATTTCCACTTCCCTACTATGTAATAGACAAACAAACAAAAAAAATACATACTACATTAGTACTGTATGTCTGAGTTCACAGTATTCACAGTATTCTGCAGTAGTCAAAAAGTACATGGATGACATACTACCTGCAATATTTTGCATACTATGCATACAAAGGACAATTTACTATCCCATGAGGCCTCGGGAGAGGATTCATAAATGCCGTGCAAACAAAACAAGTTACATTGTAGGTCACATGAAAATGCCAACATGAAAGAAGCAGCATATCAGGATTGAATCCACACTGTTATAGGACATATACTTTTTTATTGGTCACAAACTAAGTTCTTCTTATAATGTAGACACATTCTGGTTTCAACATCCAGTATATCAAGTAAAATGACTAAAATATAATTCATGGAGGATACATTGACTAAGATATTTTATAAAGCTTGCAATATTACTGTTATAAAAAATTGTCATATTGAGTAAAATGTCTTTAATTGCTGAATTAACTGAATTTTGCTGAAATTAGCTGAATTTCTCAAAAATGATATGAATTAACTGAAATGGACATTATATTGACTACATTGTACCAATATACAGTATATGTATTGTTTATTTCTAAACACTCCTTTTAAATAAATGTATTATAGCTTAGATAAAAACATACATTAAAAAAAACAAAAAAACATCTTGAGGTCATTTTTATGTGTCCAATAATACGAATTTTAAATAATTAAACCAAATCAAATGAAATTCAATCAATATTAAAAAATAAAAATAAAATCATTGGCTTCTTTTAGGGTTGAATGTTAAAGGGTTAAACACACCAAAAACTGATCAGAAACTCCACCCTCTTACAACACTTAGCAGGAAGAGCCTGACTTGTTATTTCTCCTTTCTGTCACTGATTTTCTTCTCTTTGACAAAAGCTAACAAGAATAAGCCATCAGTGGACAACGAAGAGAAAGACTTTGAAGAAGCATTTTTGGGAAGTTTGTTTCTGAACAGACAGCAGATCTTTGTGATTCTCGAGGTTATTCATGTTTGAAACCGTCGTTCAGAAAGTGAGAGTAAAGTTTAGGTTGCTGGAGCTCAAACAGTGAAAATGGCTTCATCGGCTGAATATGACTATAATTGTCCCGTGTGCTGTGAAATCTTCAAGACTCCTGTTCTTTTATCATGTAGTCACAGTGTCTGTAAAGAGTGTCTTCAACAGTTCTGGAGAACCAAGAAAACTCAGGAGTGCCCCGTCTGCAGGAGAAGATCCTCGAAAGAACATCCTCCATATAATCTGGCATTACAAAACCTGTGTGATTCATTCCTGACGGAGAGAAATGAGAGGCGTTCATCAGGATCTGAGGAGATCTGCAGTTTACACAGTGAGAAACTCAAACTCTTCTGTCTGGAGGACAAACAGCCGGTGTGTTTAGTGTGCTTTACTTCAGAACAACACGACAATCACAAATTCAGACCAATAAGTGAAGTGGTTTCATCATATAAGGTAGGTATAGGTCTCTGTCATTTTATTCAACTTCATATGACATATACTCAGGTCTGCATGCGCAACCAAAATAAGAAATGCGCTGTGTAAATTAGTTCCGAGCACGTGGTTGCGTACCGACGGGGTTGACGGCTGTTAAAGGCACACTATGTAATTTTCTCCGCTAAAGGGCCGCTGAGTGTGGAATCATGGGAGTTGTGGTCTTCATCCCCACAGCCGATGCAATCCGACGGGACTCGGGCAGAAATCATGTTCATGGATGAGCTAATGATTTATTAACGTAGTAGAATGAAGCAG